TCATCTACATATCATAGGTTGTTAATGAGTCTTCCTCCAATTTTGATTCCACATTCTTCTTTTATGTAATTCAGCTTCTCTGATTGTTTGCTCAGCATACAGACTGAATATTGTTTTTGTTGTTAAGTACCATCGAGTTGGTTTTGACTCATAGCGACCCTGAGGAGCGGCTGGTGAGTTTGAACTGCCGACCTTGCCGTTCAAGCCAATCCTTGCGGTCCAGTGCTTAACCTATAGAACTACACCAAGACTTTATACAGAGTGAATAATAAAGGTGAAAGGATAAATCTTGGTGCACACCTTTCCTGATTCTAAACCATTCACTAGGTATCCCCTTGTTCTGTTCTAATGACTGCTTATTGGTCTATGTACAAAAAAGCCATATCAAGTAAATCTACTTTACCACAAGGGTTGCCATTAATTCTTTGTGTTATTTTGCAACTCTTCTGTAAAATGAATTTTTTCTAAATAAAATTGGGGCGGGGGGGAGGAAGCATATATTTGAACAGCCTGTGTGTGTCAGCACTGTGGTGGGACCTGGAGAGGTTAGGGGGAATAAGACACACCCCCTGACCTATAGAATGCATAGTCTGTCTAGCAAATCTTCTTGGCAGCAGATCCAGAGAAGTGAGATGTGATCTCCAGAGAGATGACCATTACAGCAATCTGGGCAAAAAATGGGGAAGACCTGTACTAAGGTAGTGCCAATATAGTTGGAAGGACATTAAAGGGGCAGTTTTTTGTTTTGTTTTATCATCTGGTGACTAACTAGAAGTCTGGTGAGGTTTCTTGTATGAGACCATGGTGTCATCCCATCAAGATAGAGTGCACAGAGGTTTGTGGAGAATAATGATAAATTTGCTTTTGGAGAGCTGGCGGCTTCTAGGGCTGCTGCTTAAAAGGTTAGGCAGCCGTGGTGCCGCTGTAGCTTGGGGGAGCGATCTGGGCCGAGATATCATCTGGGAAGTCATCAGCATTGAGGGATAGAAAGAGACTACTTAGCAAGAGGGCACAAATGAACTCCTTCTTGGGGCAGAGGGGTGGACAGAAGTCCCACTTTTTGATTCACCCGAGGAAGTAGCAATGTCCATTTCCTTCAAGATTTTACTTTTATATTGAAAGTTTGGGCTACTTGTCAGATGTTTTCCAGCTGGATGTATGAATTTGGGAGTCTTCTCACTTTGTAGACTTCTGTCTTTCCATCTGTAAATGGAGATATGGAAGAGTAATATTCTTAAGTATGACAGGGTGAAGGGAAAATAATTGAGGCTGTAAACGCCAGTTTCTCTAAATTACTGGGTTGAAACTCTGAGTGGAGGTGGTTCTAACTATCTCCAGCTTGTCTCAAGCTTTCTTTTGCCTTTGGGTATTGGTTTATGGCCGCTCTTTCCTAACAAATGAAAAAGATTAGAATGCCAGAATGATTATGTACTCTAAGGTTCTTGAGAAAGAGCCCTGATAGCGCAGTGGATTATGAGAGCTGGACTGCTCCCCTCAAAGTCAGCAATTCTAATCTACCAGTTGCTCCTTGGCAGAAAGATGAGACTTTCTGCTCTTCTAAAGATTTATAGCCTCAGAAACCCTATACAGGGTCACTTAACAGTACACAACCACCACTACCAAGAGTCTTGGGTGATGTGGGTAGTCTATTTTAGGCTGACAACTAAATGTCTGGCAATCTGCTTCCATTAAGGTACAGTCATAAAAACCCTATAGGCAGTTCTATTCTATAAATGCATGGGGTCGGCATGAGCCAGAATCAACTCTACAGCAACCGGTTTCTTGTTTGGGGCTAGATTTTATGATAGTCCAGGTGGCAATGAATGGGACACTAGATTGTGAAAGATAGTAAAGTAATACAGATTTTAGTTTCTGTGTTGTTTGTTGTCGTGTGCTGTCATGGATTCCGGCTCACAGCTACCCTAAGGACAGAGTAGAGAGTTGCCCCTGTAGGGTTTCCTAGGCTGTAATCTTTATGGGAGCAAATAGCCAGGTCTTTTCTACTATGGAACAGCTGGTGGGTTTGAACCACTGACCTTTCACTTAGCAGCCAAACATTTAACTACAGTGCCATCAGGGTTCTTGGATCCAATACATACAATGAAGTATACAAAACTTGAGTATATCATTGGATTATTTTTGACAGTCCATGCGCCTATGAAATCCAAACCTCCATCTAGATAAAGAACATTGCCATCAGCCCAGAAAGTTCCTTTACTCGCCCTTCCAGTTAATCCTTCTCCCCAGTCCCTCAGGGACAACCACCCTCAGTTTATCTCCCACCCATAAAGTGGAAAAAAAGTTGTATGAGTTATTTAAAGTAAAGTATGGATGGTAAGGTCTCACAACCAGAATATGAAGGTAAATGCTGCTTGAGACGGTTTATCCCACATGATCTTAAAATTAAATCATATCAAGCTCTTCCTTCTACCTGGGTTTTCCTTCAGCCATCTGAAACTTTCAGATTTAAGCAAGGGACCATCACTTCTCACTGTTAGGCATTTTAACAACTTAAAAAAAAAAAAAAACTTTTTTTTAAAGAAGAAACTAAACTTTAGATATCTGTTCAAACTCCGAAGCTCAGGTTCACTGGGCCTCAGGCCTCTGCTCTGGGTGACTTGGCTGGATTCTGCCAGCCAG